CCGCCGCGTGGCGTCCGGGCCCCAATTGGGCTTTGATGGAACTGCCTGGGGGGGGGGGGTCAGGTTTCCCCCCTTCCTGCCTCCAAAGCTGTCAGACCCTGGCGTTGGCATGCTTTTGGCACAGGTACCCCAAAAACCCACAGGCACTGCCTGTCAGTCTGTCTGGTTATTGTCACAGCAGTGACCACAGAGCAATGGATAAAGACAGGCACCTTTTACATTTTTAAGTAGTCAGCGTGGGTAGCAGCAGGAAGCTCAGTGCAAGCTGCATGCACTGCGGCGGGGCTGAGCCCCACGGCGCTGGAGGCAGCTCACTACTGTACCCCAGGGCCGGCGGGTTCAGCCACCTCGCCAGCATGCTGAAGGTACTCCTTGAGCCTACAGACACAGCAGTGCCATCCCAGGGCTCTCCAGTTACAGCACCGCACACAGACTCACAGGGGCAGCAAGTGGGGCACGTGCTCCTTGTCACGCGCCGAGGGAAGTCAAGCTGCCCCCACCCTGCAGCCAGGCTGGGTTCGAGCAAAGGAGAAGGATCTCTCTTGTCCCCCCGCTCTGCAGCTGCAGGGCAGCTGTTTGCCTTGGTGCACTTGTGAATACACAGGGTAGAGATGCGTGTAAGGCCTGAGTTTGTCTCACCTAACCTCAGCCACCGCGCAGAGTCTGAGGCAGGAGCTTTGTCATCCCAGACAGACACCACCAGAGGGCAACCCATTTCTCTCTGCTGAGGACTCAGATCTTGCATCCTCGGAAACGCACCCCTCTCTTGCGTGATTTTGGAAGAAGGTTTCAGCAACAGAGCATCAGCTTATGCCTAAGGATAGCAGGTGACTCCACGACCACGAGTTATGACATCAAGCCATTCCCGGCTTTCACTTACAGTTTAACAAAAGGGTCTGAGTATCCGTTGGCATCCATTGCTGCTAAATGAACACAGCGTACAATGCCTACAATCAAGCCGCCTTGCTGGGTGCTGTACATGAGGGACACAAGGATCTTCCCACGCTCTTCCACATCCCCGCCACGATCTACCTGCAAGAGGAAGCAAAGGGAGGTGTCAGGACACAGGCCCGAAGCGAGGGCACCCAGGAGTACAGCTCTGGAAATACAGCAGCAAGAGCCAGTCATCTCTGCAGAGCAGACAAGAGGAAACAGTAAGACGAAAACTTGCAAGAGACCTGCAGAACCTTCATGAGGAGACAAAGGCGGCTCACACATGAGAGATGACTGGTGAAACGTGCAGAAAACCGAGGACAGGGCAGCCTCTTACCTCCTCCTCATACAGTGCCATCCCGCGAGATGAGCCGGTCGTTCCAGCACGCTTCATCTTGGGTTAGGAAGGGAACAAAGGGAGACTTCCATGAGTAACTGCGGCTGAAGAGAAGCATTGCCCTATGGCAAGAACACTCCTGCGTGGAGGTCGGGAGCCCTGCTAAGCTCTTTCACTGACCTCAGGAGTGGAAGGGGGCTCAGACCAAGATTCTTTTACTCTAATAACTTTCACATCAGCAGAATTAACACATCACCCGGGGCATCAGGGAGCAAAGCACACACAGGGAACAAGCTGCCCTCTCCTCTACAGGGACACAAATCAGCACAGGCTGGCAAATGTCAGAAGATGTGCAGCCACCACAGAGCTCCCCAAAGGGCTGAGTCACTTTCTGAAATGAGCTCTTCACATTAACTATTAATCGCTCTAAATTCAAGAAGGTCAGATTCTTCCATTTGCTTTTTCTAATCTAGGATACTTCTCTAAGAGCAAAGTTCTGCTTTTTGCCTCCGTCACTGGATCCAAGGGACTGCTGACCTCCTTGTTTCAGATTCATACCATTTTGACTGAGATCAGGAAACAGGTCCCTGGATTCCCACCTCATGCCTGTCTCCTGGCCTTAATATGTCATATCAGCCCAGACCTTGAGATGTGGGTGGGAGCCCAGCTCCCAAAGATGTCAATGAAAGTTAGGCATAGAGATGTCTCGGACTGTACCAGTTTCAAACTCACCACTAGCTCCCTCCCATGCCACTTGTTAGCAAGCTCAGAACTAACGGTAACAGGAGAGTTTCTTAAAAACTCACCGGTATTACTCTCTCTAAGCAAATGTTGAAGTTCTTTTTCTGATTGGGTTTCAGTTTTTTCAAGGAAACTCTAGTTTCTCCAATAAACTCATTGTGGCCAAATTTGTCTTCATCACACACAGAGATCCTGAAGGGAACAAGAAAGAGAGAGTGAACATCAAACAGGTTGGAGCAACACCTGATTTTGGAGTACATACGCATCTATGTAGAAAACACTCTTATGAGATCACTGCTCGGGGGGGTGGACAAAGCAATGTAACATCTAAGTCTCCAGGCATCTGGCTCTCCTCTAAGCAAAGCCATTCAGAAAACAGGACCTCCAGTTTGCTATAAAAATCAACATTTTGATATTGCCTAGAGAAAGGAAATACTGAACATTTTTAGAAACATCTAAATATTTTGCTGGGATACTGTCAAATCATAGGCACAGAAATACACATATGTGGGATATATAAATCTACATACTGATAAGAATAATAGTAACGCCAATAATTCAATATTAAGTGAGAGTGTCAAAATGACTTTCCTTTTCCTTTTTAAAAGGACTATTAAAATCAACATATTCATGTGAAGGCTTTTGTTTTGACCCAAACTTCTGCACTTCCAGATGCCCTGTCAAAAACCTGTGCTTTGCTGCCAGTGCCCTCTTCCAGTGTTTGTGAGGAGGACTAGTTTGAAATGCTCCGCACAGAGAGCTGAAATCTTCTCCTGTGCAGAGGAGACACACAGACCCTGTCCCACCTCAACACACCGTGGGATACCACATCTCCTCTACGTGCCTGAGTGTTTTCCTTTGCATGTCCTCGTCTGTGATGCCATGATACACCAGGGTCTCGTTCCACACAGGGTTACGGGTGTTGCGCAGAGTCTTTGTTCTCAATTTATTTGACTGTTGCAAGAAAATAAAACACAGCATAATTACACAGAGTGGCCTGAATTCCTCCACGTCTAAATTTAGGCTTCTAACAGAGGGGTATAAATCAGAAGCTCCGTCACTTTTGGCTCACTACAAAGCAGCATGGGAAAAAGAGCTGATTTGACTGGGGATTCTCTTAGAAAGGCTAGTGTCCCCTAGAGACATATATTTCACACTCATGGGAGGACTTTGTAAGACTTCACTGCTACCTGCTAATGCCATCATATCAGTGAGGTTCAAACACTAGGTGAGTATCCAGGGAGACAAGGTAGACCTTATACAAACCCAGGGGACTTGGGTGCCTGCAGTGGCCAGGAGCCTTAGCCTCCTGGCTTTTTTGACTGTCTGGGGTCTACTCACCCAAAGAGACTTGTCTAAGAAAGAACTTAACCTATTTTTAGTAAATGAATTGCATTCGGACTAAAATGTCACCTGAGATTCAAATTCTTTTTTTATTCTTTGATCTGACTGTGTTTGCTTGTGCTTCCCACCAGAGATGCAACCCACAGTACCAGGGCAGGCTGAGCAGAGCTTGGATAACAGCCCTTGTGGCCTGAAGTAAGAAAACAGCCAGTGAAATGGGACTTCTGGGTGACTATCATTTATTCATATGTCTTTTATGAGCATCTTTAGCAGGTGGGGGCGGGGGGGAACCCTAGCAAACAAAAAAGTAATAGAAATCAAAGCAATTCCCAAGATCTTGACTTCTTGACTTACTGTCTATGAGACAAGGTGACCAAAAAGTCTCCACGTACAAAGTAAACCAGTAAATCTCAATTCAATGATTTTAATATTCATTTTCCCTCATTTTGCACTTGCTTCATTTGAGCAAAACTCAGCTATAGGAGAGAGCTTGGCATCCCCAGAGCAAAAGGACAGCATTCCTTAGGCACTGGGCGGGCATTGTTCATTTCTCCCTAAAAGATTTCTCCACTGAGTTTAATTTCGCTGGGTTGGGCAGTGAGATTTATAAAGCTTTCTTTGATGAGGGGGGGGAGGGGGAAAGCAGCATTTACTCATTTAATGGTTATTTCTTCACAGCTCTAATTAGAGCATGCTGCAACTTCAAAGTAAACCGATCTTTCAAACTTCAGTAATAATTAGATTTTGTGTCAGATGTTTTGCAATGCATTAACAGTGTCACCTTTTCTGAAGTTCCTCTGTACTCATTAACTAGATTCCTGTCTCTCGAGATGAACTGTGCCACATTCATTTCTTCACCACGTCTGTGGCACAGGAAGAATCACAGAACAGTCAGAAAAGGCTCCTATACCATCACAAAGGCCACTGAAGTGAACTTCTGCGCTCTGTATTCACCTGCCTCCAGGTTCACATCCCTCCCAAACGAAGCTCATATGGTATCTCTACAGATAGGTATACAGGAAAAGACCTACTCTTTCAATGAGGCAAGTCATGAAGTATTTATCCTGTACATGTTGCTGAATAGCTGTTGGCAGCAAACTAGCCCATCTGTGCCCGTCTTCCAGAGAAAAGCAGAGCATTTTGCTTTGTGTACCTCAGACGAACTACTGTAGCTTGGGCACTTTACCTCTCCGGTTTATGTGAAAGGGTCTGCAAGTATTATCTGTTTTCAGAGATACCATGAAGGCTGCCTGCTTCCAGACTTTCAAATAAAAATATAATAAATAAAAATATAAGCAGTAAGCAACTGCACTGAGAAATCAAGGGGAGAAAGCGTAAGCTTCTGAATAGGCCAGACCTGCTCTCTTTGTACTGCACTGAATTTGTCCCTGTCCTCCCACACAACTGCAATTTCAGCTACCCCCCCACCCATACAAACTCACGCTAGCCACAGCACTCCAGGTGAACTGAGATTCCCAAAGCTCTTCAGTGATCTTCTCCCAACTCTCCATTCATTTCTGGGCATCTCAGAGGTCTTTTAAAAACCTCCGTCCCACTTTCAGACCCCACTGTCAAACGCATCCACATCAGGTAAAGAATTACCTTACTGGCTCCAGGCAAGAGGTGCAGTTTTACATAGGGATCAGCCAGGCCATTTGAGTCCATTGGTTTTAAGCCCTAAAAGATAATAAAGGAAAAACAGGGTGTGAATCATCTTTAAGCAGAGCCAGGGGAGAGGGAAAAACTATCCACTGGTTATTATGAAACAACTTAGTAAAGAGAACAGAAAACGTGTTTTGAAAGCAAAAAGCCTCGTTCTAGTCCCTGAATAAGTGTGGGTGCCAAGATGCATCTGAAAAATCAAACCAGCTCTAGAAAAAGTAATCCAGAACAGTCCTTTCTACCCTAGACTTGCTCACATTCTCCAGGAATCACATGGGACCCCACAAAAGGAGCCACCCTTGATGGGCAGACCCTGAGCAGCGCAAGCACCTCCAAGACGCAAACATCTGCACACAATGCTCTGTGAGAGCTGAGCTTCCCCACAACACCTCGAGGCCGAACGTCTCACATGCACCTGGGGCAGCCCTCTAGAGAAACAGCCCGAAGGAGCTCTTCCAAAAGCAATTAACAAACAGGGCCTAACTGGGGTTCCTTAGCCTACGAAAAAAATTGGGGACAGGAGGAGAAAGACACACTACAGCCTTTCCACATCAGACTGCTGCAAAGCTGAAGCAAATCCTTTGTTCTCTGTGTCCAGGGGAAACAGGACAAAGCATCGTGCTGGGGGGGAACAGCATCCCCATCACTGGAGGCCTTTCAGAAGTGGTCAGTCAATATCTGGGAGCAGCAGAGACAGCAGAGATGAGCCTCCAGCAGGCAGCGGGCTCTCTGACCTCCTGCCGCTCTGCCAGCACACGTGTGACTGCAAAGCAGAGGAACTGTGCACAGAATAGCAGCTGTGGCTTGCGCTTTCTTCCCTTTGTGCTCCACACAAAAGCCAGGTAGGTCATGGGAAACATTGCAGCAGATCCCTGGAATTCTAGTGCCAAGGTCCTACCCCACTCTGCAGGTGGCAGACACTGGCTCTGTACTAATGCCTACTGCAGATAGATAGAGGAGATAAAGTTAATGGCCACAGTGATTTGCAGAGGAGCTTAAGTAACTGTTAGGGCTATGGTATCTATAATCCACCCTTTGCACCTGGGCAGACATTATCTTGGCAGCCCCACAGGACAGTTGTGGGAAGCCGGTTATGCCTCAGCACACCGGTGGGTCAATTACAGCGTACAGGGGGTCTCTGCTGCACTCCTGTTTGGCGCAGAGATCTGCCAGCCCAAGCACAGACTGTCTCAGGCAGGAGTCAAACACGTAGTGTCAGTGCCTGGCATATGGCACCTCTGAAGACAGCTCAGGCTCTGATGCCAGGAATAAACATCTTCTCCCACGTGTGCGTGGCCTGAAAGAGTAAGGAATTCTAGCACTTTTCAGATCCATTTATCCATTAGGCTTCCACAACCTCTAAGGCTACAAAACTGGGAGATTTCAGCAAGGTCCCCAGCAACCAATCCATCCCAGGTTTTTTGAGAACTGCAGAGAATGGGCCCTTCCGGCGCCTAACGATTAGAGAAATACAGACCACCCGTCACTGTTAGCAGTGCTGGGCTGAGGCACCCAGCAGGGCAGCCTCTGCAAGCAGCCACTCTGCTGTCAATCCTATTGTACTTGGGGAGCTGGGAACCAGACAGGCTTAGGTCTGTAAAAGAAAGGAAAGAGGGGGACTATCTAGCAGATAATTACAAGCGTGCAGGGTGACAAGACTCTCCTCTGAACAGCGGGCAGAAAGGCATCTTCTCCCCAAAGCATGCACTTACTTTGGCTTTGATGAGTGTGCAATGCAGAGAGCTGTTTTCCTGGTCATACAGTAGGCTGAACTCCAGTGCTCCCAACGTAGCTAAGGATGGAGAGAAGAGAGAGAATACAGGATATGACTTTAAATACAGATATTGGCTGAGACTTCAATAATCAGCCCTGATTAGTAACAATTAGAAAGATTTGCTGTTCAAATTAAAAAGCCATTTAGAGCACGCGAGACTGTACTGGCATCAACTAAACTGCCACACATTAATCTAGCCAAATTCATGAGCTCTGGTCATCAAATCACTACAAAGGCAGAATAGCCCAGGATACTGGAAGGGCAGCTAGTGGCTTTTTAGCTGCCTTTAATATTCAGCAGGCAAGGAAGGATGCAACAGTATAAACAAAGCCTTCTGTGGCTGTAGCTCAGGCAGCTACCCTAACTCACATCCAGCTCCACCTTGCAAAAGTGTATCAGCTCCGGTGGACATCTCCCAGGGCTTAGAGATCAGCGCTTGGCCCAAGCTTTGAGCTGCTGGAAACCAGCTCTCACTTGTCTTTGCGTGCTCATCCGAAGAGGATGAAAGGGACGAACGGTTAACACAGAACCTCAGCTAAGTACGTTCCCTCCTATTTGAGCAAGATTTCTGCACCCTCTCCTGTCTTTGAACAGCTCTTCCCTTCCTCGGTAAAAATAGGCTGGTAATGTGAAGCGCTGCTGTTTTCACAGACACTCACCCTCACTCAGCTAACTCACTCGTTAGGGGAGCAAATGAATGAGCCAAACCAACGCGCCTTTGATAGAGATGGATCCAGGGGCCTCTCCTGGCAGCTAAGGATGCTTTGAGAGAAAAAGGCAACCACCCTCGGAAATCTTCTGAGGTGGGAAGGTCATGTTAGCACACAGCCCAAAGCAGCATGCGTCAGAGCTGAATAGTTTGGTGCAAAAGTGACTGAAGACCCAATCCTGCAAGTTGCATGGTGGGAACGAGGCTGGAGGAGGCCTGCGAGACCCAGCCGTCGCCCTCGCCGAGCTGCGCCGACTCCCAGCGTTGGAGGGCTGAAGACCCCTCTCAGCCTTTGCGCTCCTTCCTCGGCGCCGATTTGCTCAAAGCATCGGAGGCTGGATTTTTGCGGAGGGTTTGCTGTTGTCACGTAGTGAAAAACAGTCACAAAACAGCCCAGTCCTCTCCCAGTTACTTATTCGCCAGGCACTAAAAGCGCTCCAGGAACTCGAAGGAGCCAGAAGACCAACGCTGCAGTCATTTACTTCGAAAGGACGCCGGTTCGGGTACAAAACATTGAGAAGGAGGAAAGAGCGATTCCAGCAGGACGCTCCCTGCCGGAAACCCGCGACCTTACCCTTCGAGTCACTGTCCCAAAAACACCAAAACACTGGGGTTTACCCCAAGAAAACGTGCCACGGCGGAGGAGCGGGGCCCCCTGCCCGTGACCACCACCCGCCCTCCAGCCCCAGGTACGTACTGCCTTCGTCAGAGTCGTAGCTGTTGGCGTCCTCCTCCTCCTCCTCGGGGG